CACGACCTGAGTCAAAGTTGGACATTCAACTGACTGAGCCACCCAGGCGCCCCCTTATTTACTTTATTGATGCAGAAAATTATAACATATTAATTTCCGTATGTTATAGCAGCCTTAGTATTTCTGGAGTAAACATCCTTTTTCTATATATGCTAACTTTATTAATATTTCCTTTAGATTGTTTCATTTATGCTCATGATTGAGATTCATTTGTACTTTCCCTTTCTCTTAATATCCTTGTTGAGTTTTATTATTACAAGGTTACGCAGGTTTGGTGAAATAATTTGGGAAGCATATATTCTGTTCTCTGGAAGAATTTGTGATTGGAGTTTTTTATCCTTCAAACCATCCTTCATGTATTTAATACCATAATGAGTGAGTTTGACAGTAAATGAGATAAATCAGTAAACTGCATAGTAAGGTAGATAGTGGTGAGTGCTATGATGGGGGGAACAAGCAGTGAAGGTGTTGCGATGTTTGGGTGAACGCCGAAATTTTAGATCGCTGGCCAGGTGTCCCTGAGAAGGGGACTCCAAGTTCAGATTTGGCTGAAGCACATTTTGGGTGCAGTCAAACAAGTGCAAAGGCTCGAAGTCAGGGCAACAGCAAGAAGGCCCTCATGGCTGGCGGAGAGAGAACGAGGCAGAGCAGGTGAGGGAGGAGTTGGAGGCAGGGCCGGAGCCAGGCTGTTTAGGATTCTCGAGTCCTAGTGAAAAATTCAGGTTTTATCCTGAGATGGGAGTTTATGGGAGGATTTTAAAAAAGGAATGACATTATCCGATCAGCCATGAACTGTCTGTTTTTGAGAACAGACTAGTGGGAGAGTTAGGGCAGAAGCATGTCGGCCGGCTAGGAGACCGTTAGGATAATCCAGACAAGAATGATGGTGGCCTGGACCGGGCTGGTGGAAGCAGTCAGTGTCTGGGTAAATTTGGTGTAAGAGATGGCCAGAATTGCTGACAGACACACAGCAGCGTGTGAAAGAAAAACAGAAGTCAAGAATGGCTCCAAGGTTTTTTGTCCTGACAGCCAGAAGAATGTAGTCCTTGACTGAGATGAGGAAAGCATTAAAAAGGGCCCTTTCCTAAGAGAGTCTTCAGGATCTTGGGTCTGGATATGCTTTAGTTGACATGCCTGTTGGGCATCCAAGTCCAGTTCTGAAATAGGGAGAGGCCCAGTCTAGAGCTGCAATTCAGGAGTCCGTTCATGGCTGGGAAGGAAATAACCAAAGGAACAAATCAAATAGAGATGTGTCAGAAGAGCTGCCAGACTGAACCATGAAATACAGAAATCAGGAGACTGGGAGACAAAGAGGCAAGCAAAAAAACATTTTTAGTATTCGTTTATTTTTGAGAGAGAGAGAGAAAGGGGGAGAGCCAGCCTGGGAGGGTCCGAGAGAGAGGGAGACAGGATTCAAGGTGGGCTCTGTGCAGAGAGCTAGAAATTTAGAAGGCAAACCAGACAAGTACGGTGTCCTGGAAGCAGTTAGCAGCAGTGTCCCATGCCCACATTAGGTAAAGTAGGCTAGGCGTGAACAGTGACCACTGTGTTTAGTAACATGAGGGTCATTTCCTCTTAAACTTCACATGGAAGTTGAGAAAAGCCAAGGAAAGTGAAGAATTGTGACTGGGTCTTGCCTCTTACCACATAGGAGAACATATTATGTACGTTATAATTAAGTCAGTGGTAAATTGATCTAGCCATGGACAGAGGAGACCGCAATTGAAAACCGACAAGGTCATCTCAGTGTTGGTAAATATTCATTGTACGGCAGACCTAGTTCTCTTCAGGTGAAGGATGGATTATTTAATGGGGCCAGCCCAACTGGATATCCTTTTGGAAGAAAATGAGTCCTCAAAGGATTAAATACTTAAGCATTAGAAATAAGAGATAAAACAATAGCCATCTTGCAGTAAAAAGGGGAGAAAAAAAGAGGAGACCACATACAGTGTCTGGGTGAGGCATTGTACCCTGACCTCATGCCCTAAACATAAAAGGGAAATTAACCAGAAACCAACACACACATTCAAAGAACAATGAGTGAGAGCTGCGAACAAACTCAGCTGCTTGAGCACATTAATTAGCCGACAGACTTAAGAAAAACGCTTACGTTTATTAGCGGTTGGGGAAATAATAAATATTGATCATTGGCAGAAAAAAAAATGCATTTCTGTTGCTCTCAGTGATGTGAGGGAAAGAGGATCTTCGTGCCTCGTAGGTCTGATTTTCCTCATAATATTGCCACTGTGGATTCTCCTCCGGAAGAAACAGGTTGTAAGGAAAAGCTTGGCTCATTGCTGCCCAGCCACTGAGAAGTACTGGGGCTCCGGACAGCTCACAGACCCTTGAGGCCTCCTTTTCCTTACTGTGTGGGGGTCACGACCATCGTAGGCCGGCTGCCTTCCCCTGAGGAGCAGCTAACGTGTGTGGCCAAGTGTTTGGAAGCGATACGCTAGGATTCCAGTGAGACTGGCACGGTACCAGAGTCCAAGAAGAAAATCCCATACGTTTTGACATGTATATGGGAAGAAAAAACTACTTACTGTCAGTTGTCGTAAAGAAGGGCTTACGAAGAAGGATCACGTTCGGCATTGGGGCTCAGTTTTGCAGTCCTGGAACAGCACCGTCGCCATGATGAAAATGTTCTATGATTCGTGTGCCTTCTGGACAGTAGGCGCTGGTCACACGTGGCAGTTAACACTTGGCATCTGTCAGCGCAGCCGAGAAGTGAAATTTTTATTTTAATTTAACCTTCTATACAAACAGCCACATGTGGATGCTACTGTTTTGTACTGGACAGGAAACCTTGGTGTTGATCAGGCTACATGCACCTATTAAATTATAACTTGAGATAGATTACAACCAAATGCCAAATAAATTACAATTGGGGGATATGGGATTTATATTTGCCAAGAGTAAAATGGGTATTAAAATGTTGTTTGTGGGGCGCCTGGGTGGCTCAGTTGCTTAAGTGTCCGACTCTTGATTTCAGCTCAGGTCACGATCTCACAGTTCATGAGATATAGCCTTGCATTGGGCTCCATGCTCAGCATGGAGCCTGCTTGGGATTCTCTCCCTCTCTGTCTGTCTGCCTGTCCCCCAAAATAGATAAACTTTGAGAAAAAAATGACGAGCAAAAGATGAGAATTGAGGAACTAGTAACAGAAGATACTCTAGGAGGAAAGCATTTATCCAAAGAAGATTGGTTTTCTGTATTCCTTGCTGCCTATCACAACATTCCCTTTACAGGACACCTGTCCCCTGCTCTCAGGGTCAGATCCCTGGCTTGTCTCTACTGTGATTCTTGTCCGTGGGCTTCGGTTTATTCTTCTGTCAAAAGGATCAGCTTTTCAGTCTTCAAGATCTTTTCCTCTTTTGACATTCTAGGAATTTGTAAGGAGATAGGTTGTTTTTCAAAGATTACATTTTATAGGTGGTGTTGCTTGTGTGTGATCGAGATGGGGAAAGATTTTGGGGTTAGCCGTCTTCTCCTGGGACCGGGGAGTTTCTCTCACCATCATCATTCGGTGAGTGGGTGGTCTTCTGAGGTCTGGGAGTCTCGCTCTGCCATGACCTTTGCTTACTAGCTCTGAGATACTTTCCACTGAGAAAGGAACATCCCATTTTGTGTATTTCCATTTGTTCTCATCAACAAGCCAGCTTATCTTCAGGTTAGATACCTGAAAAACTAATCTGCAGACTTCTGTCATAACTGAGGAAGGCTTACTTTTCTCTCCATGGTTAGTTTGTTCTATCATGTTTTGTGTAAAATAACTGGAAACTGCAATTACTTAAGAAGGAAAACAGGGGCGCCTGGGTGGCTTAGTCGGTTAAGCGTCCGACTTTTCGCTTAGGTCATAATCTCATGGTTGGTGGGTTCGAGCCCCGCGTCGGGCTCTGTGCTGACTGCCAGCTCAGAGCCTGGACCCTGTTTCAGTCTGTGACTCCCTCTCTCTCTGACCCTCCCCTGTTCACGCTGTCTCTCTCTCTCTCTCCTAGAAATTAAAAAAAAGAAGGAAAACAAAAGCTGGCAATTTTTTACTATTGTCAACATTTACCATTTTTAAAATAATTTTTTTAATGTTTATTTTTGAAAGCGAGAGAGTGAGAGAGACAGACAGCATGAATGGGGGAGAGGCAGAGAGAGAGGGAGACACAGAATCTGAAGCAGGCTCCAGGCTCTGAGCTGTCAGCACACAGTCTGATGCAGGACTTGAACTCACAAACCGTGAGATCATGACCTGAGCCGAAGTCAGATGTTTAACCAACGGAGCTACCCATGCGCCCCCAACATTTACCAATTTTGACTTCTGTTAGAAATCTACCTATATGAATACTTTAGTAAGTAAACAGTTGTCTTCATAGAGAACCAGAAAGCTGTGAAAAAGAGTAAAAGTCCAGTTGGGTATTTACACTTGGGAAAATACATCCAAAGTAGAATGCCTGTGTTCGGTCTTCACAGAATTTTTAAATTTGAGATTACTGGAAAGAATAGGAAGAACAAATTAGGGAATATCAACTAGACCCTGTGGATTTCCCTCCAGAAAGTACTAAGCATGAAATACGAATACGAAGTTGATTCAGTGATTTGTGAGAAAAGCACAAATAAAGTGGCTGGTGAACCAAACTAAAACAGTGAACATTTTTCTTTATGTCTTGATTTTTTATTTTGGCTTTTGTTGTGTTCTTTGGGAAGAAATTTTAGGAGTCTGGAATAAATAGAACGGAACAAATAAATAGACATGTAACCTGTAACAAAAATAACATCTTAGCTGGGACTTCAAGCACGTGAAACACATAATTTTGAGGAAATCTTCATCCGTGTGTGAGACCAAAGCACTATGTCACCATTTTCACCTGCAAAAACAATGTGTTGCATTCCTGCGTCTAAACTAAGAGATGATTTATTATCACTTCAGCGGTTATGAAGAGCCAAGGCATTTGGTTGTTGATAGGTATTTTCCTGAAGTTTCACATGTTTGTTTCTTTGTTTTTAATAGAGTCCCGTGAAGATAAATCAGATTAGCCTGGACGAAAGTGGAGAGCACATGGGTGTGTGTTCCGAGGACGGCAAGGTACGGCAGCGACGTGCGTGGTGTCGGAAGCCGTCTGAGGGCTGGGCTGTCCCCCAACACAGGCGCCTGCCGCACCCCTGCCCTAGGAGAGCCCGAATTCTTCTTTTTGGGTGTTGGACCTGCTTCCGATTGCTCATAATTAAAGTAAAATATATTTTGCACAAATGTGCCTTAGGAAAAGTAATTACAAGAATGTCAATAATGTAACCAGTATTAAGCTGATTAACAGCTGTGGCAGGGCGCCGTGTCACCTTAATCATTATCCCTGTGCCACTTATACTTCAGTGATAGGCCTACAGTTCCTGCAAGACAGTAGCTTAATGCCTTTCTGCCATAAATCCACAAAATTGGATTTTGTGGGTATGATTTCTGTGGGCTGGTGGTTTTCATTTCCACACAAGTTATGAATGTTTCTCTTGAATTATAGAATCTTTTGATAAGCAATCATAGTTTATCAGAAGAATAAAGCGTCTTACAATGGCCACATTAAATAAATGTAAAATCAATATATGTACAGTTTTCTAAAAACCTGGCACCCACTTCCTCAACCAAGGACATACATCATTTGTGCGGGTGTAGCTAACAATTATCAGTGCCTCCTGCTTGTGTAGAGCTGTGACATTTAGTGGCTGCGGTGATTGATTTTCCAGTTATAAGAATGTCTTTTTTGTTTTTCAGTCGATGGAAGTCTTTTCTAATGTTGGTCCACAATGATAACATTCTCATGCACCGTGTATTTAAGCTACTCTCCTAAAATAAGAGTTTCAGAAGAAAGTACGCAAAGAGCCCTTCCAGAATCTTCCATGTTCCTGACCGAGTAGAGTGCATTTCCTAATCTGACTTTGTATTTTTACATGACCTAAATTCAGTGGGTCATTAAGATGAGTAAATGAAAAACCATGTACTCCACGTAAAAAATTTATACCCATTTAATCTATTAACAAAAGAAAAATGAAGTCCTCTGGATGCACAAGAATGCATTTTACATGCCCAAGTTTAATGTTGCCCAAAGAGTCTTTTGAAACAGTAATCAAAATGCTGTGCTTTCCAAAGAGCATGGTCAGATTTTGCACTACTTTCTAAAATTCTGTGGTCAGCTAGATTGTCACAGAGTTGAGGGAAGAGTCGGTATGTACGGAAATTGAGAATTATCCAAACTGTTGAAACCTTTTTACATTCATGGATTTGTACAGAAAAATCAACTTTATTTTATTCTCTTAAAGAAAACAAAACAGCACAAAAAAGTCCTTGTGGACAATTTAATTGAACGGATTTGGTTGAAAGAAAACATTGATTTTCCAAATTGAAAAAAAAGATTTTTATTATAATACGTCATCAAGGAATTTTCAAAGCTTTAAATGTTGAAGAATTACTATCTGTGGCAGAGTGAGATATTTTAATTCTGTCTGGTGGATAATGACCCTCAGATATCATCTGGTACACTTCTTGGCAAATACCTTTATTCTTATGTTAGTCCTATTCCTTACTGTCATAGTTTGGTATTGACCCAGGATACAATAAAAAAAAATTTTTTTAATGTTTATTTTTGAGAAAGAGCGTGTGGGTGGTCGGGGGTAGGGAGTGGGCACAGAGAGGGAGACACAGAATCAGAAACAGGCTCCAGGCTCTGAGCTGTCAGCACAGAGCCCTACACGGGCCCGAACCCCCGAACTGTGAGATCATGACCTGAACAGAAGTCAGCCGCTTAACCGACTGAGCCACCCAGCTGCCCCAACTCAGGATACATTTTTAAATGTATATGTTTCACATATGTTTTATTAGCATAAAACTGAAAATAAATCAGCATTAATAAAGTTGAAAATAGATCTTTTGGCACACATAATTTATGTAAGCTAGCCAGTATTGTGAAAATTGAGCAGCTAAGTTAGAATGATCTGGCAAAGTGGTGAGTAATGATAAACACATAAAGGTTATTACAAAGATAAACTGAAGATATCTAGATCTAATACATCTTTATATGGCCGGTGTGGTTTTTCTTTCTTTAGTATATTAAGACCCCCAGATAAAAATATGTCACCTTCATTCATAAATTAGAATCAATTAAGTGTAGAGTGCAGGGTGGAGATACTTTCTCTTAAAATTTTGGAGATATTGTTCCCTTTTATCTGACCTTATTTTTGTGGACATGTCTGAGGCTAGCATACTTTTGTTCTTTCACGAAACCTTTTTAATTTTTTTTTTTTTTTGTCCTGCCTTGGAGCTTAGACTAATAATAATAACAACAATAAAACAACAGCATCCGGCCCTTGTAGTTCAGTTTGCTAAGTTATGTCTTGTTCGGATCTGTTTTCATTAATTTTGTCTGGAACACAGTAAGTCCTCGTGATCCGTATACTGAAGTATTGTTTTCATTTCAGGAAAGTTTACTTCAGTTCTGATTTTGATTATTGCTTCAGTTCCATTTATTTTCATTTCTTCAAAGAAACCCAATAATACTTAGGCTGGAGGCAGTTACCACACAGAGGCTGGGAGCATGGCGGCATTTCCGCTGTCCTGCGCTGGGCTGGGCGCACTGCTTGGCTCCCCAGTGCCCCCTCTTCCTCAGCTGGGCAGCGGGCCCACCCGGACGTCTGCATGGGGACCTTGTGAGGTGCTGGGTGTACAGCAAGCCCTCCGGATGTATCTTAACTGTTTTTATTGCTAACCATTCACACCTTTTTTAATTTTATTTAAAAAAAAATTTTTAACATTTATTTTTGAGAGACAGAGGCAGAGTGAGAGCAGAGGAGGGGCAGAGAGAGGGGGAGACACAGAATCCGAAGCAGCTGCAGCCTCTGAGCTGTCAGCACAGAGCCCGACGCAGGGCTCGAACCCACAAACTGTGAGATCATGGCCTGAGCCAAAGTCAGATGCTCAACCGACTGAACCATCCGGGTGCCCTAGCTAACCATTCACTCTTTAACCCACTGTAGACTGGCCTTTCCCATCCTGCACTATTTTTTTAAAAATTTTTTAATGTTTATTTTTGAGAGAGAGAGACAGAGAGTGATCGGGTAGGGGCGGAGAGAAAGAGGGAGACGCAGAATCTGAAGCAGGCTGCAGGCTCCGAGCTGTCAGTATAGAGCCCGATGTGGGTCTTGAACTAACTCAGGAACCATTAGATCATGACCTGAGCTGAAATCGGATGCCTAACCCACTGAGCCCCCCAGGTGCCCCCCCCCCCCACATTATTGTACAGGATCTTGTCAAGGAAAGAGGATGACTGGATAAGCCCTGTTCACCCTTCTTTTGAAAATATGTAGATTGTAAGGAAAATTGGTCCTGGTGTCTGTCTGTCTCTCTCTCACTCTCTCTCTCTCTCTCTCTCTCTCTCTCTTTCTCTCTCTCTCTCACACACACACACACACACACACACACACACACACACAGAGAGGTATGTGCTTTCTTCTCATTGTTTTTATCCTGCTTCTTTCTCTGCAGTCAGGGGAGACTGTCTGGTCTGTTCCTTTTGCTGATGTGCTTTTATTCCACTATCCACTTTGCCTTAGTAGCGTTTTACTCCATCTTGGATTTTTAATTTTTCTGAAATCTTTCTCTTGCTCCCAGCTCTGTTTTAATATCAGCCAGACATATATTTAATTTTTTTCTTTTAAATTTACAACTTCTCGCATGTCTTTTTTTTTTTTTTAATATTTTTATTTTATTTCTAGGAGAGAGAGAGAGAGAGACAGCGTGAGCAGGGGAGGGTCAGAGAGAGAGGGAGACACAGACTCTGAAATAGGCTCCAGGCTCTGAGCTGGCAGTCAGCACAGAGCCCGACGCGGGGCTCGAACCCACGAACAGCGAGATCATGACTTAAGCGAAAGTTGGACGCTTAACCGACTAAGCCACCCAGGCGCCCCAACTTCTCGCATGTCTTAGAGTGCCGGGCAGTACAGTCTAGTGGGTAGGAATGGAATTCTGCATGGTAGCCATGTGATTGCGGGTAAGTTTTTGCCTTCTCTCCGGGCCTTAGCCTGCTTCTGCCTCTATTCAATGGGGATAATGATGGCACCTGCCTCAGTGATTACTAGAAATAAACAAGTTAATACTTGTAAATTGGAATAACATCAGGAACAGAAGAAACACCTAGTAATTGCTAGCTCTCATATCCTGTCTTTCTGCTCCAGACTCATGGAGGCCTTTTCTTTTTATTGAAGTCACCCTGATGGCTTTCTAGTTTCTTTTCTGGTTACTAGTAAACACTCCTAAAAGCATGCTTTATCTCCCTCCGAATCATTGGAATGGTGCTCTGTGATATCCTTTTTATAGACCTCGTGTCCGTTTTGTGTTGCTGGTTTATCCATTCCAGAACAAGGAGAAGAGCTCTTTCTGAATGTGGCTTGGTAAACACATTCTGGGTCTGATTGCTCTGGGCCCAGCCTGTTACCATTTTGGGTAGCTCCACACAGGGGCCTCATGAAAGAGCTTGATTTCCTCTAACCAGAGGGAATCCATTTAAGGCAGCCCCCCCAGGGACATGGGAGCCTCTGCTGTCCTCTCTCCCAGGCCTCTGACACTCTCCGTGGATGGAGAAAATGAAAACCAGCCATCTCTTCTGTGAGGGTCACTTCACCCACCACCCTAGATGCAATGGCAGCTTATGTCTTCATCCCTGTTCGAACTTGACCCGCTACTGTGTGCAAACTGGGGTTTGAGAGAGGCCGTTACCAGGGAAGCACTACCTGGAGGTTGTCTGACCCTCTGGCTGCCTCATTCATGGTTCTCCCACATCAGATGGGTGTTGCCCCGTTTTCTGGTTGACAAATCCGTAGAACTCCACACTCTAGTGGAGAAGAATACACATGTTCCTTACTGTTTTGTGAAGATAGGTTTCCTTTACATCAAACACCTCTTCTGTGGTCTTCATATGGCCACCAAAGAGATGGTCTGGAGTTCAGGAGAAATCTTCCAGACTGCAGTAGATGGTCTAGAAGGCCAAGTGTTCTGGACTTGCTCTTTCTTCATTAGGTATTTTTGTGACTAGTTGGGGGAAGTTGTTGGAGGGTACCATTTTCAAAGGGAGCCCCGCCCTTTTTGACCTTTAATTCTATGATTCTTATTTGGGATGAAATCTTCCTTAAACCCAAAACTTCTAGGCAGACATTAAACAGGCTCCTTTCACAGACAAGCATGATATTCAGCTGACAAGATGGCGGAATAGATCAAGAGGGAGAGAGAAGAGTGAATAAAAACTCTTGGATTTTATTGGCTATCGTAGTATAATTGTGACCCACTAGTTTCGCTTGTCACATTAGTGAAATGAACCAGAACATCGAGGGTTTTACACGTCACCCTGCTTGTCCTGATCAAGTTAGGAGATTTGACTCGTGAAGTTAGTGTTCTTCCATATTCAAGGAGAAAATACAGTTATTTGACGAAGAGATTATTCAGTTAAACACAGCAGTAGAGACTGACCCCAGAATTCCAGTCTGATCTCTTTTCTGTTGATTCCCCCATATTGGTCCACTATTCCATCTTCAGTATGGGTTCATAATGTTTAAAGGGGCACTTATCCCTGGTAATTCATCATTTAATTTCACCATTAGATTCACAGCCCTAATACTTATCTTCTCATTTACTGATGCCTCAGTCTTTTTCGGTGGGTTCTTACATCATTTATGTGTATCTCATATACTTTTCCCCACAGTAGAAATCACGGAGGGGTGCCTGGATGGCTCAGTCGGTTAAACGCCTGACTTCAGCTCAGCTCACAATCTAGTATTTCATGGGTTTGAGCCTCTTGTTGGGCTCTGTGCTGACAGCTCAGAGCCTAGAGCCTGCTCCATATTCTGCATCTCCCTCTCTCTTTCCCCCCCTCCCCCTCCTGCTCAGTCTCTCTCTCTCAAAAATAAATAAACGTTGGGACACCTGGGTGGCTCAGTCGGTTAAGTGTCCGGCTTCAGCTCAGGTCATGATCTTGCGGTTCATGGGCTCAAGCCCTGTGTCAGGCTCTGTCCTGACAGCTGACTCAGAGCCTGGAGCCTGCTTCCGATTCTGTGTCTCCCTCTCTCTCTCTGACCCTCCCCTGCTCACGCTGTCTCTCTCTCAGAAATAAAAACATTCAAAAAATAAATTTAAAAAAACGTTAAAAAACGACAACAACCCTAACTTTTGTTCTTAAAACCACCTTTAACGTGCTGTAGCCAGAAGGAAGTTTATCCATTTGAATGAATAGTCTGCTCCATTTTGTTTCCGCTTTTTATCACAGACTTGTCTAATTCAGAGTCTGACATTCACCTTTAGTTTGGTAAACATTTGAGGCTTTTGAATGGTATTTTCCTGTTCTACTTTTCTTATACTTTATGTAGAAAGGTCTCTTATTTCCATATTTTAGGTGATCTCCTATAATGTTAGTGTGTAAGAGAATAGGGTTTGAAACACTCTTCTTGCTCTTTATGACCTTGGCCAAGTCTGTTGTTTTTCTGCACACTCCTCTGTTAAGCAGGCATAATGGTGTTTGCTGTCCATACCTCATCATGTTGCTTTAAGGATCAAATGAGGCAGAAAAGGATTTTCAGTGCTAGCTGCATAATTTCAGTTGTGGACCTTCTAAAATACCATTTCAGCCCACCAGCACTGTTTGGTTTATCTAGGGAGGGGTCTGGTCCTTAGTATCCAGGGATCTTAACTGTGGAATAATGATGATTCCTTCTAACCAGTGAGACGCAAGGTGGTGGTGGGGCATGCATGCATTTATCATGTCAAGAATACATTCCAAGGGCTACCTCAGGGTAAATCAAATACCCTCTCTGTTACATCGTACTGTGTGCTGTTGTTGGAGCCCAGATACCATACGTGGCGTATGGTAACATAAAACCAGTCGTCACAAAATGAGGGTCTTGAAGACTTACCTCTTACTGAAGGAATTTGTCACCGACAATTAAATTGTGAGTAAATTTTCCTCTTTGAACTTGCAAAAATGAACCACTCGCAACTTACTAAGATGGAAACCAGAAGAAATCGAAAGTCTGAATAGTTTTATAACTGTTTGAACATTTGAATTCATAATTACTTTCTCACATAGAGCTGTCCAACCTAGAGAGCTTCAGCAGTGAATTCTTACAAATTTAAAGAAAAAATACTACGACTCTTCTAGAGACTGGAGACCGAGTGCACACGTCCCAAGTGTTGGGAAATAGTTCCCAGTGCCCCTAACAGTTAGCGCCAAGTGTTTGAGCGCCCCTGGGATCTTAAGCCTTATTGGTAAGCGTGTGAATTGATTAGAACCACTTTGTGAAATGGTTTGGCAGTTTATTAAATGTGAGCAGATGTGTAGCCTATGGCAACAAGTCACTTCCTACTTCCGTATACCCTTCATCAGCGTGTACCTAAGTGCACCAAAAAATGGGTAAAGAGTGGTCAGTGCGTGCATCTTATTTATAATAGCCCCAATCTGGAAACAACCCAAATGACCAACAAAAGGCAGATATGTGTTTTGTGTATTCATACGTCGAAATACTATATAGCAATGGCGGAGAACCAGGCACTGCTATATGCAACAGTGTGGACAGAGGCAGCGAGGAAAATATTGAGTGAAAGAAGCCAGTGAAATAGTTTATGGTTGTTTTTGTAGAAAATTCAAACACCAGCACAACTTCTCTGTGGTGACAGATTTCAGAGTGGCGGTTCATTTTGAGGGTGTTTCTTAATGGAAAGGAACACAGAAGTGCTTCTCAGGTTCTGTTTCTTGATCTGATGGCATCTATAGGGGTATGTCTATGTCGTAAAAGTTTGTCAAGCTGTCAATTTATGACTCGTACCCTTTACAATATGTATATTAACCAGTTTTTAAGGAAACCGCTCAGAAAAGAGATTAAGTATGAACCAAGTACAGTAGTCTTCAGGGTGGTAGTGATAAATAGAAACTTAAATCTTATATATGTACACTTGGTAGATTCAACATAAGATTATAAATGAAGTGCGGTTCACCTCATCTCTTGCCCTAATATATGTATGTGTATATATGTACGTTTATATACACATATATAAGACTCAAAAAAGAAGTCCCTGTTTCCTTCAGGAAAAGGAAGAAGATAATTCCTTTAGGGATAGCCTATGGGAAGTTCATAAAGGAATATTAATAAACTATTCATAACTATTTCATTTATAAAAGTTGTCATCCCTTTAATAAAACAAATTTGTGGTGAGTAAAGGGAACTGTGTCCATGAGGCGCTTATAAAAACTTAATTGCAGTGGGGTACTCTCACCCTGATAGAATTTTCATTGGATATTTGATAGAGATCACAAGGGCCTTAGATTATTAAATATTCTTTTTTTTTTTAATCAATAGTATGTGCTCTCACCAACTCAGCAGCCTTCTTTGTTGCCGTCCTGGTGAACTGACAGGATCCATTTTACTTTTTAGGTGCAGGTGTTTGGACTATATTCTGGAGAAGAATTTCATGAGACTTTTGACTGTCCCATTAAAGTAAGTATTCAGTAAATTTTAATTTTTCTGAGGATTTTCTCAACAAAAGCCATAAGGATTATCATACTTTGAATGCTGTCCGTCTTGCATCAATTTCATCAGTGAGCATCTCTTCAGAACTTTGAATGTACTAGACAATATTTCATGGTGTAAAAGAGCACAGGATGTGTCTTATGTGACTGTGATCTCAGGCTGTCCTTAGGAATCTTTCGTTGTAGTGAGGGAGATAATAAACACACACATACACGTGCGTGCGCGCGCGCGCGCACACACACACACACACACACGCACACACACACAGAGTCTGTGATTAAGGACCCAAAGCGGCAAAAAACAATATTAAGGAGTCCAGAGCCTAGAGGAGTCACTTCTAGCTGTTCTTGGTGGTGACAGCTTCACAGGGGGATGGATGTCCGAGTGGCCTTTAACAATTGGACAGGGCAGACAGAGAAGCTGCCTCTCCATGTGGGAGAACGATATAATATAAACAGAGAGGCCATAAAGTTCAAGTTGCATTCAGGAAGTGGCAAAAACGGTCCAGTTTAGATGGCGCGTAAAACATGGACTCGGCAGCACGGCCCCAGAGGCAGACTGGGGCCGGCTGTATTTTCAGGAGAAGGAATATGGACTCTGGCTGGTAGATAAGGAGAAATTACTGAATGTTTAAGAGCAGAGAAGTGACATAAACTGAGCTAAGCTTAAGGAAAATTAATACGGCGACTATATACAGTAGAGATTGGAGGGCCGATAGGCGCGAGAGGCAGGAGAGACCGTCTTAGATAACAGTCATGGCCCTTAAAGTGACGATTAGAGTTGTTGAAGGGAGAGGTCATTCGTTGTTTTCACTTGTTTATTCAAACACTTATCGATCAACAGGTAAAGGAGAGATAGGATCTGATGTGTGTTTTAGAAAGGCAGCTCTGGCAGAGCGGAGGGTGATCTAAGCAGGAGAGGGATTGCAGACAGAAGGCAGTTTAGAAGATTCGTGCTGTCCCAGAGACAGGTTGTCACAGCCCAGGGACAGGAGCAGTCAGGCGCACTCAAGGTGGAGTCGAAGATGAGAGCGTGGAAAGCCGTTAGGAGGCCGACTTGCAGGCCTCGGGGATGGGTTGCACGGGGTGACGGGAGAGGGAGGAGCTGGTTCTTGCTCCGGCCGTGGTGTGTGTGGCGATGCCATGAGCTCCAGGGAGGGATGAGTTGAGTAAGGACGTTGCTGATTTGGTCTTGGGTTCAGAGAACCGAAGTACATCTGGTGGAAACGGCATGGAGGTTTTGCAGACAGGAGTGCGGAGCTCAGGGTAGAGACTGGCCCTAAAAACACGAAGTTGATTGCCCTTGTTGCCTAAGATGAAACCGCTGTTCAAGATACCATCCAGGTAAAAGCTAACGAGGGGGCAGAGAAGACTGGAAGGCATCCGGACTGGGGGACAGTTGGGTTCTCTCTCTGGGTTTCTTCAGCGCATGGTACTCCGTTACAGATATGATCTCTTGCTGCCTCGATGGGCCCTAAAGAGGGGATGTGTACTCAGAGAGTCCTCACTCAGCCAGAAACTAGAACTAATTCACTCTCTTCTTTGGGCTTTCACCTGGCCTCCCAGAACAAAACTCCGGGGTCCTCAGTTGCAGACTATTACCCGAATAGATTACTTCTTACCTAGATCTTAGGATAAGTTTTAGATCCTGCTGCCTGTAACGTAAAGAGCTTTCATTCTGTGCTTTAACGGTGGCTCCTCAACCAGTGGTGGGTCCTTGTTTCCTTGTAGATCATTGCCGTGAACCCGCATTTTGTGAGGTCCAGCAGCAAGCAGTTCGTGACTGGAGGGAAGAAGGTAAATGCTTTGTGTGTCTACCATCATCTGCTCTTTTGGGGTGGGGGGGTGGGGTGGAGATTCTGTTGGCTTCTTAATTATCCGTAATATTTTTAATGTCTGACTATTCACTGGGAGGAATTTTGAGAAAGACCGATGTAGTGAAATTCTAAGCTCATCCTCTCTCTAGGGAGATGTGCCCCTTTGCCTCTCACTGATACTCCTTTGTAGTAGATAAAGGGCAAGAAAAAAAGGGGCACCCGGCTGGCTCAGTCGGTCCAACTGTTGATTTTGGCTCAAGTCATGATCTCACAGTTTGTGAGACTGAGCCCCATGTTGGGCTCTGTGCTGACAGTGCAGAGCATGCTTGGGTGTCTCCCTCCCCCTCCCTCCCTCCCTCTCTCTCTATCTCTCTGCTCCCACCTCGCAAAATGAATAAACAAACATAAAAACTAAAGAAAAAAGAGAGCTGTTACTGGAACTACCTAGGGCTTTGAAATGTCCCTTCCACAAAACAGAGGTACCATTTAAAAATATCAAAAGAGATGGGGCACCTGGGTGGCTCAGTTGGTTGAGTGTCCTACTTTGGCTCAGGTCATGATCTCACAGCTTGTGAGTTCAAGCCCTGCGTCGGGCTCTGTGCTGACAGCTCAGAGCCTGGAACCTGCTTCGGATTCTGTGTCTCCCTCTCTCTCTGCCCTGCCCTACTCACAATCTGTCTCTTGCTCTTTCTAAAAAATAAACAGACATTAAAAAAATAACAAAAGAGCAATTAAACTCCTGTTTTTTCCTCATATTGTAGAAATCTCTTGCAGGCCTTGATAAAGTTTGAGAACAATTAATGACTATTTCCTTACCTGTTTCTGGCATATTTCATTATCTTAGTGCTGTTTTAAAAATAAGGGAGTAAAATAATCCTTGTGTGCATTTACATGTTTGTTTATAGACATAGTAAATTCTAAAATTAAAGAATCTTTCTGCTTCTAAATCAAGCCAGTTGCCTTCTGTTATTTATTAACCAGTGATATTTTTTTAAACTGTTTTTATAACAAAATGCTGTCACAGTACTGGAGTAGTGACTCTCCGCTCCATACCCAGTTTAGAGCTCAGTGAAAATGAGGGGGTCCGTGGTTATTTCTGCTGTGGTGCATGTGCATGTGGAATGTTCTGTGAGGCTCAGCCACTGGATGGGTTTTGAACATTTCACGGTAGTTGTCTGCCGTCTGCCCTGGTTCTCCTGCTTCCTAGATGGATGGGGCAGGAACCCATGCTGGTTGTCAGCCGGCACTTCTCAAGCCCTGGTTTTAGCTAATCGTCGTGGCCGAGCGGCGGGTCCTATAGACCCCAGCTCCATCCCACGGCATGAAGCCAGCGTTGCCCAGCTCTGATTTCTGGTTGTGAGCCAGCTTCCTCCCTCCTGCCCGCCCCCGGCTCGTTTTTACCCTTAGCCTGTACCCTCATGAGCCTCACACCAAAGTACGGATCAGTCAGTGGGAATTACAGACCTAATCTAACATTCTCTAGTTTAGATCTGCAGCTGATTCACTCCTGGAAAAAAACAAAATAAAACAAAACCACTATCTTACTCGTCTTTGTTGACCTCTGGAAGGAGCAGCTTTAAAATTCCTCTTCTTGGGGCCCCTGGGTGGTTCAGTCAGTTAAGCGTCTGACTTTGGCTCAGGTCATGACTCATGGTTCATGGGTTCGAGCCCCACATCAGGCTCTGTGCTGACAGCTCAGAGCCTGGAGCTGCTTCAGATTCTGTGTCTCCCTCTCTTTCTGACCCTCCCCTGCTCACACTGTCTCTCTCTCTCAGAAACAAAACATTTAAAAAAAAATTTTTTTAATTCCTCTTGTTAAGCTATTTCTTTATGAAATACTTCTCTAGTTAAAAATTTTTAGGTGACATACAGCATAAATTCACTAAGCTGTATTGTAAACCCACATGTTTTTATTTAAAACTCAGTGGGGATAGGGGCACTTGGATGGTTCAGTCGGTTAAGTGTCTGCCTTCAGCTCAGGTCATGATCTCCCAGTTCACGAGTTCAAGACCTGATCTGGATTCTATGCTGACAGCTCAGAGCCTGGAGCCTGTTCAGATTCTGTGTCTCTATCTCTCTTTGCTCCTCCCTCGCTCGCTCATGTGCTCTTCTTCTCTCTCCCTCCCTCTGCCTCTCTCTCTCTCAAAAATAAATAAACATTAAAAAAAAAACTCAGTGGGAATAAAGAATTCTGAGTGATTTTTGTGTTTGTTGTTTCAGTGGCTTAAAACCACAAACTTCTAGTGTCTCACAGTTCAGAAATCAGAGTGGTTTACTTCTGTAGTGCTGCCTCAGAGTCTCTCCCAGTGTGCATTTGGGCTGGGGCCGCAGTCATCTGAGGGCTTAAGTGGGGCTGGGGAATCCGCTTCATCTGCCCTCTTAATAATAATCCCTCAGATACATAAAATTGATAAGTCATTTTGGCTTAAGTATATTCCTAGTGCAGGATGCACTTATGTGTTGCAGTTTCCAATTTTAGAGGAGTTAGGAATTTTACACTTGTCCCCTATTTCTTGACCTTATTGGTGTGAAAGAAGATATCTGAGATAATAAGGAGTGGTGATGTCCAAATGGTAGGACTCAAACTCTGAAGGTGGAGTTTTTCTGTGTTAATCTGTGTTCTTAATGATCAAGTTATTCATGAAGTTTAGTAATTGCTTTTATCCTGTGAGGGATACCCGTGGTCTCCTCCAGTCTGCCACCGTAGTATCGCTACAGGGGTGTCTTGACCCCCTGCAGGATGCCTGGGTGAACTGTGTCAGTCACGTGTTCTTCATCCTTCTACTTAGCATCCTGAGGAAGGATAGTGGGAATGTGGCTCTTCAGGCCAGAGCTCCTTGTGTAGACGTGTGAGCATCATGCAGGCAATCAAGGAGTCCACCCTCTAAGGGCAGATAGGGTGATTTGGGAAACAGTGGAGTTTATACGAAGATGAACATTGTGATGGGCAGTATAATTAGAATTTACCAGATGCTGAGCAGGCAAGAACATCAGGGGTTTGGTTCATCTCTTGGGTTATCATGGACTACTTGACAGTTTGTTCTGTGTTCATTGTTCTGTGAAAGCATTCTGATTTCTTTTTTTCTAGTCTCTTCTCCAGAAATGTATAGGTAGACCTTTCTTCTCCAGCACAAAACGATGTTGAATTATAAGTGTATAAGATGAAAGTAAAATAAAAACCATTCAAGTCGTCTGGTGAAAAACTTTTAAAAAGTGATACTAAGTTAAAGTTTATGGATTAAAATAATTTTTAAAAATTTTAACGTTTATTTTTGAGAGAGAGAATGCACATGTGCGCATGCACACGCGCGCGCGCGCGCGCGCACACACACACACACACACACACACACACACACGAGTGGGGGAGGGGCAGAGAGAGAGGGAGACACAGCATCTGAAGCAGGCCCCAGGCTCTGAGCTACCTGTCAGCACAGAGCCCGACGCGTGGCTCAAACCCACGAACTGTGAGATCATGACCTGAGCTGAAGTTGGACGCTTAACCAACTAGGCCACCCAGGCATCCCATGGATTAAAATAAAATAAATTTTATTTTTAAAATATTAAAATAATGTTTTTTATTTTTTTATATGTGCAGTCATTTGATTTATAAAAAGATGCAACAAAATTCAAAATGATACAAAATATCAATTTCAAAACAATAACAAACAATGAGCGTATTTAACCATACTCAGCTCATAACAGAGCAAATGAGTAAGGAGAATAATTCATGCTACAGCATATTGCTCTATGAACTGGCAACAGAAAAAGTTGGTAAAGGAAGGCACAGGACCTCTATCTTTAGAATGTTAGAATTAGAACCGAGGGGCTCCATAATCATCTGGCATCCTCTCAATGTTGTACCTATGGTTAGAAATGTACATGATGGGAACTCCAGGGATCTTCCGGATCCTTCGTTTAAGGTCCCGGTCAACTGTGGCCACAATGTAACACTTGTGCTGAGTGTGCTGAGTCTGCACTAAGCAGTCATCTGCATAGGTTCCTTTGTGTGTGCATGGTAATCGTTCAAATCTTGGGTCCTTGGCAATCCTTAGAGCCACTCGATACTTTTGCCCCAATTTCTCAATTTCAGCCATTACACAGTCAGTTATACAAGGGATACACTTGGCATACAGACAGTCCATCATTGATTGTACTAAATCGAGTTTGGCTTTAATGGAAAAGTTGATAAAGTTGGTATCAACCAGGATGTGGTAAGGCGGGCCCAGCTGTGTGTTGTATTGGAAGAATAAGCAGGAAGGATGTTGGGGGACTTCTCTTTCCTTGAGTGCACTGGGATCTTTCTTTTCTTTCTTTTTAGGTTTCAATCTATCCTCTTTAAGCCTCTGATCTAGGAGACTAAGCATTCACTTCATGGTTGCATACTTTCTTGCTTTCTTTTGCTTCCCCATGTTCACGCCGCACTCTAAAATAATTTAAAAGAAAAAACACTAAAGTGTTAACGTGTCGGGCTCAATATATTGGGGTTGATAAAAGTATATGTGATGTTTTGATGTAAAGAATACTATGATTACTCATGTCATTGTAAATGATATTAAATAATTTATCTTTTTGATTATAACCATCTGGGTGTGAAGTGATATCTCATTATTGTTTTGTTGTGATTTCCATTTTCCTAACGACTCCTGATTTTCATGTGCTGATTTGGCCATTTGCATGTCTTCTTTGGAGAAATTTCTCTTCCGATTCTTTGCCCATTTTTTGATTGGAATATTTGTGTTTTTATTGTATCCTTGTAGAAAAAATTTTATGTATCGTTCATACATGTCCTTTATTGATACATGATTTGCAGATATTCACTCCCTGTCTATGAACTGTCTTTTCCCATTACTGACTGTATACTGTGAGGTACTGACATTGTAGATTTTATGAAGTTCCACTAACTTACCCCTCCACACAACACGTTTTTTGTGTGTGTGACACTTATCCTTTCGGTGGTATATCTAAGAAATCATTGCCTGA